AGACGTAACAATATTTTAACTAGATTTGTTAGTTTCTATATTGAGAAAATGTGTTCTACTATAGTGTATTGTATGTGTTTGTGTGTGATTTCTGCTTTTATGTCTTCGTTTGTTATTTTTATGTGTATATCTTTTATAACAAAAGATTTGGGGTTTGGTTTATTGCCTGGTATGTGTATGGTGATATTTCCTGGTTTAAAAGCATCTTGTGGCAATTCTTTCAGCACTCGGTTGAGGTGTGCAGCCCCTGACCCTTTAACAAGGATGTTGCCCTTGGCTAAACAATTGATAGCAGTTATGTTGACTTTCGTTTTATGTCTTTTGATTTCAGCCACAACTTGTGGTTCTCTGTATTGGGCTGGGATTCCTTGTATTATGATAAAAATACGGTGGTGTTTTTTTCTGTTATACTTGTTTGAGTGATCGTGTTGTGTTTTTGTTGTGTCAATTTCTTATTTTCTCGGGTGTTACCAGGATGAACATGTTTGTGTGTTCTTGTATATGTGCATTTTGTTGTGAGAGTTTTTGTTCATATTAGTTTTTCTGTCTGTTTTGGTTGTTGTTCTTGTGCGCTTATTTATGTTGCATTTGAGTTTTGTATGGTTATATTCTTCTTTGTGTTAATGTTCATTTGGTGTTTTTGTATGTTCTTATTCTGGATCAGAAGTTTCTATGACTTCCATGTCTGAATGCTCTCCATGTGGTTCTGGTTCAATGGTCTTTTATGTTTGTGTTTCCTTCTTCTTTTCATCGTTAGTGTGTAGTCCCCTTTTGCAAGGGACACTAGATGTTGTAGTTGTGAGGTTATGTTGTTTGTGGTGTCTAGAATTGAAGTTGCAACCAAACCAGACTTACCTGAAGCTTGGGTTGTGCTGGGGGTTTGACATTTGTTGGTTCTCGACTTCATCCACCGGCAGTTATGAAGGTAGCATGCAAGAGTGCATTCATTTTTGTTGAAACTATTGTTACGACAGCGGAAGTCACGTGACTCTAGTAACACGTTATGAACTTCTAGAAGGATCCTGTCCCTTCCTGAATGCTCTAGCATTTACTAGATTTTAGTGTTCTTTTATATATAAAATGGTCAAGACGTGACGGCAACAATGTAATGAGTAATTGAACTGCGGACAGAGAGAGAGTATTGTTGAGTCGTTCGTTGTGAATTATAGCGTTTTTTATAGCATGACTGGAAATTAAGTGTACCGCAAAGTTATATTCAGAAAGAATAAACCAGTTTTATTTAAGAAAGGACTTGTGTCGCTAAAGTTTCGTCGGAACGAATTTACGGAAAATTAACTAACGAACGGAGGTGTAACACAGAATGTATGACAAAGTTGGATCTTTGGCCATCCAGCTTCTCTGTCACATAAACACTATGTGTGCTTGCCATTTTACACTTAGCTGTTGGGACTTTCACGATGGAGGTTGGTGGGCGTCCCTGAGCACCAACCACTACTGGTTCCCGAAGCTGACTTATTGGTGGTATTCTTCTTACACTGGCTCCTCATGTGTCCTTGCTCTCC